AACTGGAAGCAATTGGGAACAACAGCAACTCACGTAAATTCACAGAGGAGGGACAACGCATGCTTAGGCACACAGTGTGCAGAAGTCACCAACTGTCTGAAGAATTAATAGCTACAGACCTCCAAACTTCATGTGGCCTTCAGATTAGCTCAAGAACAGTCCGTAGAGAACTTCATGGAATGGGTTTCCATGGCTGAGCAGCCTTACATCACCAAGTGCAATGGAAAGCGTCGGATGCAGTGGTGTAAAGCACACTGACACTGGACTCTAGAGCAGTGGAAATGTGTTCTCTGGAGTGAGGAATCACGCTTCTCTGTCTGGAAATCCGATGGACGAGTCTGGGTTTGGTGGTTGCCAGGAGAACAGTACATGCCTTACTGCATTGTGCCAAGTGTAAATTATGGTGTGGGGTTGTTTTTCAAGGGTTGGACTTGGCCCCTTAGTTCCAGTGAAAGGAACTCTTAATGCTGCAGCATTCAAAGCCATTTTGGAAAATTTCATGCTCTCAACTTTGTGGGAACAGTTTGGGGACGGCCCCTTCCTGTTCCAACAGGACTGTGCACCAATGCACAAAGCAAGGTCCATAAGGACATGGATGAGTGAGTCTGGTGCGGAGGAACTTGACTGGCCTGCACAGAGCCCTGACCTCAACCCAACAGGACACCTTTGGGATGAATTAGAGCGGAGACTGTGAGCCAGGCCTTCTCATCCAACATCAGCGCCTGACCTCACAAATGCTCTCCTGGAAGAATGATCAAAAATTCCCATAAACACACTCCTAAACCTTGCGGACAGCCTTCCCAGAAGAGTTGAAGCCGTGATAGTTGCAAAGGGTGGGCTAACTCCACATTAAAGCCTATGTATTAAGAATGGGATGTCATCAAAGTTCATGTGTATATAAAGGCTGGTGTCCCAATACTTTTGGCATTATAGTGTATGTATGAAACTCAAATAGAGGGGTATTGTGTATAGTGATTCAGATCAGTTGCTGTGCAGCTCAAAATTGCAGTGAGGAACACAGTATATCTGAGAAACCTGACAGGTGTCATTTTCCTATGGTCAGCTCATCCACTTTATTTAAATCAGATATTTTGGTATGGACAGCTCCATCTGCAATAAATCTTCTATTTTCTATTTTTCTATTTCCCATTCATCACCTCCTCAACTATGTTTTTTACCTTGTCTGTTTCTTTCCACAGAGGTTCACCAATGAAGATCACCTCGCTGTTCACAAGCACAAGCATGAGATGACACTCAAGTTTGGACCTGCCAGAACGGACTCAGTCATCATTGCAGGTGCTTATCTCTGCAGAATTCTGTAGTTTCAGGAATTTTCCCCCACCTGATGATTGTCTGATCATCTTTCATGAATTCAATAGTCAACAGAGCAAATAGGCACCAATGCCATAGAGCAGTGCAGCATCAATTGGACAAAGAGCTAAGAATCACTCCCTGTGGTCTCCCAGCATATCCATTAGAAATAATACTGATCATATTTTTAGTACAATTTGTTACATCATCTTATTTGTAGCGTAGTGTAATGCGTCAGTTTGGTGCTTATTGACTCTATTGACTGTTGTATCCCTGACAGACGACTTGAGAACCAGGACGTGGGGAAAACATTCCTAAAAACAGAGAGCATGTCATGTATTTCTGCTAATAACCACCCTGACTGTCCCCCCCCCTGCCTTTCTAGACCAGACTCCCACTCCGACTCGGTTCCTGAAAAATTGCGAGGAGGTGGGGCTCTTTAATGAGTTAGCCAGTTCCTTTGAACAAGAGTTCCCCAAAACCCAGGAAGATGACGACAGCAAGAGAGCTAAGAACCCTGTAAGCTGTTACCGAAAGGGGGGGGGAGGGGTTTCTCTGTTTTGAATTTTCAGAACCAAAATCCATAAAGGGGTTAAATATAAGGGTTGGGTGTATTCTGGGTTAATATAGATGACAAACATCACCTGTGCATATTTTGAGATCAGCAAAGGCATTTCTCCCCTCCTTACGATAGCTACCTCCTGCCCATCCTGCTGCCCTGGACATGAGCCTACAGACACCATCTGAGGTGAAGGTGAAGCAAGAGGGGCCTGTTGAGGTGGATTCCTCTTCTCCCGGGAGCCCTGACTCGGCCTCCAGCATGTCTGACAGTGACGGGAATCCCACGGTGAGGGAGGGGAAATGGGAAAAGACGAGGGGAGAAAGATATGTCAGTAAAGACTGCACAGTCCTGCTGACTCAGGCCCTGGATCAGATTCTTGAGAGACTGATAATCCTGGGAAAGGAGAAATTGAAAGAAAATGAGACAGAACATGATAAGAAAGTAAGAAGCATAAGATTAGTTTCATTGAGTAAAGGGGCAGGGAAGAAGGTTAGGAATTAACAAATGAATTCTCTTTAATGGATGCCGATAATCTTTAAAGCCGTTTATTACGTTTTTGAAAACCTCCATATGAAGGTAGCTGTACAATAACACTATGAATTGGATTTAAAATAAGACAGACAGACACTGCAAAAATAAACAACACTGCAAAAATAAACAAATCTCAAAATGTAATCAATCAATAAGTAACAAAACATTGCAGGGGGTTGTGCGTGTGGTATAACTGAAGTATGCCTTGTACCCAAGGATTGGGTACAGTAAAGTGGTAAGTTAAAGAGGGTTAGGGTTAGTGTTCTCCAAACTGTGTGATTCGACATGTAAAAACCAAACATTTGGCACAGAAACCCTTAGTTGGCAACATGAGTCTATAACTGAAGAAGCTTCTCATCTCAGGAGCGGATGGGACACATTATTCATAATGCAGTGAAGTCTGGACAACTTTCTCCCCTCACCCACTGCTCTCAAGGAGTCCAGGCTCAATCCTATGACAGATGTTTGTTTAGCTAAACACCTTTTTTCACATCGATATCCAACAGCAAACGGCAGTGAAGAATGTGACACCTGCTTTGATCTAGTAAAACAAGTAGGCCTGCAAGTTTTCTGTCCAAACTGAAGGCGCTTTAACAAACTACTCTCCAGTTTTTCCTAGACTCTCATTACATTTTCATGCTACTCCAACCTGTAATGGGTGTAAACACCAAGGTAGTAATAGCACTGTACACTGTATAGCATATTTGAAGTGCTGAGGTGGGAGGAAGGTATATCTTTTAAAGGGATGGTTTTTGCCTTCCCCCCCCCCCCCCCCCCCAGGGGGATGGCATCCACTTACATCCCAGTCCTGTCTGTACGTTTTCTGTACTCAGTTTTTTTTTTGCTCTTCCTTAAGTACCAGCTCTTCTGTGTGTCCAACACTGAGATGTAGCTGGTTCCTCAAACACCACCTAGTGAAACTGTAAAACGCTGTTTTTCTGTCACCGATGCCTCCTACGCTTGTGTGATCATAAGGGGATGTCAGGAGATGGCAGATTGTACCTGAAGTCTGTGGTGTAAAATAGAATGGATACAGTAATTAGTCTCTGTGGGATTTTCCGGAGATTTTTTTGCGATTGTTGTGCTCAAAAACACTTGATTTTGAAGTGGCTTTTCTCGAAATTTGCCAGGCAATTTGTGGAATTATGCATTTTTTTGTGGAAAGTTTGAGAACTATGGGCTCAGTTATGCATATCATATATGTATTTATGTGTGTGTGTGTGTGTGTGTGTGTGTGTGTGTATATATATGTATATATATATATGTATATATATATATATATATATTTACAGCGAAAAAGAGAGGTTAGGAGCATGTACTGATACAGTGCGTTGCTGCACTCACCACATGACAAACCACCTCAGGGATGAGAACCTGAGAGCAGCCATGTGGCAGGTGATACCTCAGCACCACACCAGTCCAAATGGACCAGTGTGAAGTTTTTTCTGGTGGCTGGAGTGCCAAACCTGCCACCAACCCCCAAGTTTTTCCCTGTAAGTTGGATGACCTCCGTATAGGGCTGAGTGTAGATTTATGTCATACACATGATAAAGCAATTGCAGCTTAAGGGCCCAATGGATTAGAATAACTCTGGCCATTTGTGAGATTTGAACCAACAACCTTCCAGTTACTGGCACAGATCCCTAGCCTCAGAGCCACCACTCTACATACAGCCACAAAAAAATTAAGAGACCACTATATTTTTAAACAAATCTGCAATTTTAAATCCTGATTTAATCCTGGTTATGCTGGCAGAAGGCTACACTGAACAGCAGGTTGCTTCCAGGTTCAAAATTTCTAAGACAGCAGTACGCAAGAACAAGGTGAAGCAGGAGACATTGGGAATGACCAGAAACCAGCCAAGTAAAGGGCGGAAGTCACATCTGCCAGAGATGACCGTTAAATTATTCAACAGTTTCTCACGAATTATAGGATGGCATCAAGTGACCTTCAAAAGGAATGGGGAACATTAAGTGCAGGTGTGAAGTGCACTGCTAGGACAGTTTGAATCAGGCTCCTAGAAGCAGGAATGAAGTCCCATAAAGCAAGGATGTAGCCCTTACCTACAGTACATACATACATACAAACATACACACCACACATACACAAATGGTTTTGGAGGAGTTTGACCAGAGAGCAAAGAAAAAGCAGCCAGCGAGTGCCCAGCATAGGTGGGTCCTCCTTCAGGACAGCTGGAGAAGCATCCCAGGAGGCCACCTCATGGAACTGGTGTAGAGGGGACAGTAGGGTCAGCCAGTCCCTGGAGCAACTGGGTTTAAGGGCCTTTATCAAGGGCCCAGTGGTGAGATCATTCTGCTGAACATGGGATTCGAACCGGCAACCTTCTGAGTCCCAACCCACAGAGCTGCCCTGCCCCACCAAATTACTTTTAGTTTAATACTTTTTTGGTTAGTGCATAGTTCGATATATGTACATATTTAAAGGCTGTTTGAAAAACGAAGTGTGATTTCTTACATCCATATGACTGTATGCACGGTGTTGCAAGGTGTGCAAAATATTCAAGAGTTGTTTTTCACGGTCTGTATTAGTAATTGTTGTTGGTAACTGAGATGTGTTTATTGCACTGATATCCCCCTTATTGCGGCCCGGCAGAAACACAAGCACTAATGCACATTGCACTGGGACCACAGGATGCATCATGGTCCAAATGCAAGTGGTCTGTTGATTTGGCCATTTCTTATGAAAAAGCTGCAATAAACTTGAAAAACTGCAAGCTCTAGCAAATATTGTGGCGGTTGTATGATTTTGCGTTAATTTCAGTATCCTGCACGGACTGAGTAATGGGGGCATCAATGCATTTGCATCATATCAGATATTCATTTACTGTAGCATGTTAATAAAGTTGTCTGTGAAAACTATGGTGTCACCTTGCTCTTCTCACCAAACAGGGAAGGCTAGACGGTGATAAAAACACTGGAGAAGTCAAAGAAGAGATTCCGCATGATGTTGCTCGACTTGTCCAGGTATGAGTAAGCTCTGTGACGCAGGTACAGCATAGGATCTTTGATACTTATGTGTGCTAGGTATGCAAAGTACAGTGGGTCTAGGAACGGCTTCTAAGTCGTCTCAGGTGTGGAAGGGCCACCATATTATTTTTTCTTTCATTTGGACGCCTTTGGTCTGTAGTCAACAGCACTGGAGCGTCTGTTCTTGGGTACAGGGGCTGTACAGTTTTAGTCATGGGGATAGGTTAAACAAATCTTACAAGAAGCAATCATTTGCTACCAAAGAGTAGTTGTTTATGTAATAGTTGTTACCCCTAACAGGAGAGTAACCCAAAGTCAGCAGTGAGTTCAGCCCCTACCCCTACCATCGTTCGGCCCGGCTCGCTGCCGCTCCACATGGGTTATGATGCCATACACTCTACTATGCCCTCACCAACCTCAGTCATCACACAGGCTCCTCCCTCCAACCGCCAGCTGGGGTAAGTCTGAGTTGGGGGTAAGTCTGAGTTGGGGGTAAGTCTGAGTTGGGGGTAAGTCTGAGTTGGGGGTAAGTCTGAGTTGGGGGTAAGTCTGAGTTGGGGGAAGTCTGAGCTGGGGTAGGTCTGAGCTGGGGTAAGTCTGAGTTGGGGGTAAGTCTGAACTGGGGTAAGTCTGAGCTGGGCCAATTCGGTCCCTTGAGTCTGAATTTCATTGCAGCCGCCTTTTCTTAAGCCTCCCTTATCATATAGCTCCACCCCTGTGTTCCTCTGCTGTTCTCAGCGACCCAACATAAGCGTCTGTCCCTTTCTGTCTCTTTGGCTTCCGCTAATTCCTGCTGTGCACTTGCAGTTCCCCTACAGCGCAGTACCCAATGATGATGCATCTTCCCAATGGCCAAGCGGTACCAGTGCTTCCTGGCCCAGTGCAGATGCCCTCTGTCATATCGGTGAGTCATGTGCCTCCATCTGTGGCCGCCATGGATCGTTCCTGGAGGACATGGTGTAATGGCGTGTGTTTCACAGTTGGCTCGGCCGGTGTGCATGGTGCCCAACATCCCCGGTATCCCTGGCCCCACACTGGGAGGCACCAGCAGCGGCTCCTCGTCCCCCTCTGGATACAACCACCATTCAGAGGCCAAAATGGTAAGACCGCCCCCCAAGCTCCATTCGTCAGTCTTCTCTCTCTGTGTCTTCGTCTGTTTTTCCATTCTGTGCACAGATGGACATTTGCACAAGGCTAGCATAGTGACAGTAGGTGTTTTTTATGTATACTGTCTTTTTTCCTTTTGAAATATAGCTGTTACCATACTGAGGAAGTTTTAAAGAATTTGCAAAATCACAGCTAAGTGAACAGATATGGCAAATATAAAGGGCGCCGCCATCGTGAAATGACTTGTTTTCTTTTGTTGAGTCGTTTCTTTTTGCTCTCCGCTCTTGACGTCAGTGATGCTGACAGACTTCTGTGTCCCAAGTACTCTACTGGTGTCCAGTTAATGTTTCCCCTGTCATACATAGTGGCTGGTTGAAAGGATAAGAAGGATCTTTAGGACATGTTTCCACGTTGTATTTTTAAAACCAAAAAATAAATCCGTATTGTTATCTACAGAACTGAAAACATAGAAACACTAGTAATTTTAGCGTTATTCTTACCATTTACAAAGTGATCTCTGCAAACTCTGCCACTGTTAAGGTTGTAATTCATTCTTGATATTTTGAGCAGTTTAAATGATGCCAGCAACCATTAAAATGATCTGTTAAAGTCACCCATCAAACAAAACCTAATCTTATTGGTTATATTGCGAAGTAAGTCACAACAGAATGATTACGCCTAGTCGATTGAATTCTCATTTATAATCGCATGTTATCAGTTCCTTCTTGGCATTGTATTACATTCTAACTTCCCTAAATCTTAAATAAGCTTCCTAACTATAGAATAACAGTTAAACTGTCCTAACTTTAATTTGCCACCACATAGTGTGAGCTATAGCTAAAGTTACTTTATCCGTATGGGCGCCCCTTTATTGCTTTTACACAAGTGAAATATAAGGACATAACGATAAAAATGATATATATTGCAGCCTCATTTTAATATATCATGGAAATGAATTGCAGTATTCCCGTGGTTTCAGTCATCCACAGTTTACCTCGTTCTGAAAAAAAAAGTTAAATGTGTAACACTATGTTTTTTCATATCTCCTTCATCCTTTGATGGGTGTAAAAGCATGATTTGCATTGCTACGTTATCCCTTGATGCATGATATTTCATTTAATATTTCTTGAAAATTAGGGTAAAACATCAGAATCCCTTTCGTTCAAGAACAGTTCAATTTTACTACATGTATGGACACGAAAATCACACAATATTTGTGGTCTTGGAGGTTCGCTGCATGTTTTGACTGTCCGCAGTAGGTCTTGGAACGTATCGGACTACTGTAATAAAACATAGCCATGATATATATAGTTTTAATTATGTCATAAGTGGGGCTGTGTAGGCAGGGGCGCCGTAAGGGGGAGGAAAGCTAGGANACTGGGGGGCCTAATATGATATGCTTTCATGGGGCCCAAAATCTCTAGCAACGTCCCTGTGTGTAGGTATCTTAAAGTTAGGAGAGTTTGTTTAAAATTTGGGAAGTTATGAAGCTTATGTAGTATACTTTTCCAGTCTTAAGTTAAGATTGGAACAGTTCATCTGCGATGGCTTTTTTCTTAAATCAGGTCCTAGTTACCATGATTACTGAAGAGTTAAGATAGGATCTGCATGTTAGGATCTTTTTGTAATCAATTAGATGTTAGGGTTTTTTCCCCTGAGTTTGGTGGGTGACTTTGACAAATAATTTTAATGATCATTTAAATGACAATTTATAATTTAAATAATCATTTAAATGACAATTTATAATTTAAATAATCATTTAAATGACATAATTATAAATTATAAATAATTTAAGTGACAATTTAAATTGAATAATCACTTAGATGATGTATTATACCCAACACTGGTAATAACATTATTGTAAAGAACTTTCGTGGATCTAGAATAAAAACTTTAGGTCTGAATGATTTATGGGCGTCACACAATATGTTGCCATTGCATGAATTAATGGATGGATGAGCTGGAATGTTTTTGACGACTTAGATAATTTTTTGTGTGTTTTATTTGACGCAGATGTTAACATTGCAGCACAGAGAAAAGTAATTAACTGTTACACAATGAAAGTTACAGGCAGTCCGAGGAATAAGAATATCCAACTTACAGACAAGTCATACTTACGAACGGACGGCCATAGAGTCTATTATATTAAAAATTCAAATACGATGGTTCGTAAAGTGTTTTGTTTCATGTAAATGCTTGTTTATGTATTAAAACTATTGATTAATGGAAGTGTTTTTGAAGTAGTCCGTCAAACTACTGGCAGGCTTCTGCTGGCATTTACCCCCAGTGTCCCCCTTAGCAGAAGGGGGGCATTTTGTGTGTTTACATCGGAGATGTAGGTGTTGCGGATCCACCTGAATGTAGTTACTTGTTGCTTCCTTTTGTTAAGGGTGACATTTAACGTCATAGTAAAGTTGTTCTTTTCCCTCCAGGGACTTATAGGGCTACCCGACAGGCCTCTGGTGATTCACTGTGAATAACGAAGTGTACTTTCTCAAGCAAGAAAAACGCTTTTATTTATTTATTTATTTATTTATTTTCCCAGCCTCCTGATATGTAGGAATCCGTGCAGTGAATGTATTTCAGATATGTACCGTTGAATTGCTGAAGTTAAAAATGTTCTTATTCAAAGTGATGGAATTCAAATGCTCTGGGTACACATGGTGTTTGCGTGTTTCCCCCATGAGTGAGTGGGTGACCTGGCATTGATGGACCTCCATCTAGATTGTATCCACCTGGAATGTCTCACCTTCTGGCTCAGCATGACCCTGTGCAGGATGGACCGTTATGGCCAATGAGTGGGTGAAATGGAGTGTAAAGAGTGAATTTAAAAACTGATGATTTAGTTGTAAATTAACATAATTGTTCACACATTTTCATTTCACGGTACCTGTCGTGGGCAGTGTGTGGCTCAGCAGGCTAAGCCTATGTGCCTGTGATGAGAAGGTTGCTGGTTCGAACCCGGCCGCGGCAGAATAGTCACATGTCTGTGGGCCCTTAGCAAAGGCCCCTGGGTGCCGTAAGGTGGCATAAAGCTGTGGCCCCCCTGCTTGCTGTCCTCTGTATGGAGAGCAAGACGGGGCAAAAGCAAAAGGGAATTTCCTTTCCTTAAGCATCTCTACTCTATTCTTTGTAATACTAAAAATACATAAGTATATATTATTTGTGGCTGTGTGCCTGTAATCACAAGGTCACCGGTGCAAACCCAGCCTCTGCGGGTCCTTGAGCGAGACCCTTAACCCCCAGCTCCCTGGGCGCCCCAAGACCCTCAACCCCCAGCTCCCTGGGCGCCCCAAGGCCCTTAACCCTCAGCTCCCTGGGAGCCCCGACAGGTGGCTGCCGTTTGCAGACAGCTTACTCTACAAAGAGCAAGTTGAGGGAGGCGTAAAGACAATTTCCCCACTTGGGTCAATAAAAGTATCAGTTACTCCCCCCCGTATGATGACTGCATTCCATCTGATGTCTTTGCCCCCCTCAGAGGCTGAAGGCGGCCCTGTCTCAGACTCCTGGAGGCCAGCACGGTGCCGGTATGGCTATGGGCTCCAGTCCCATGGGGCCTCAGAGGCCGGAGCAGGGCCAGCTGCTGGTGCAGCAACCCGACGCACCTTCTCCAGCGCAGCCACAGGTATGAGCCTTCGTCCTCCACCTCTCACCTCACCACCATACAGCCTTACCGGATGTCGACCTCTGCCCACCGTGGGCTCTCTGTCTTCATCTTGTATGTATGCTGCAAATAACCGGATTCCATGCTTGCATGATTACAGCTCTGGAAAAAATGAGGAGATCACAGCAAAATGTTTAGTTTCACTCATTTATCAATTTCTAAAATATGCATTTTTTTTGCAAGCTCCAGACTGGCTCCTCCCTGCTTCTCTTTGATGAAGGGCTGCTTCCTTGCTTTATGGGTCTTCAGCCCTGCTTCTAGGAGCCTGTTATGAATTGTCCTAGCAGTGCACTTCACACCTGCACTTAAGGTCTTCCATTGTTTTTGAAGGTCACTTGAGGTCATCCTCCGATTCATGAGGCACTACTTGATAAGTCGAAAGTCATCTTTCGCTAGAATCCAACTAATCAGTGTTAAAATTTGTCGTCAACTATTTTTATTACCAATTGTCAATGTTATTGATTAGTTGTTGCAGCCCTCTTTGCATTCACTTTGTAAGCTGACGCTTTTGTCCAAAGCGATGTACAAGAAATCCTGGCTGGAAAAACACATGCATCTAATTGATGTGAACTCATGCGCTCAAATTATGGCTGCAGATTGGCATCATGGTGTGACCCAGGTTTGTCAGGCTCTGGCCAGCTGTTCATTAAAAGAGACGCTTTATTTGGCTCAACATGCCATCCTGACTGAGGAGGGTCAGTGTCTCAACATCCCTGACTTCTGTCCCAGGTGTCTCCAGCCCAGCCCACTGGCAGTCGGCGGCGGAGGACAGCAGAAGACGATCCAGACGAGAGGAGGCAGCGTTTTCTGGAGCGTAACCGGGCCGCAGCATCGCGCTGCCGCCAAAAACGCAAGTTGTGGGTCAACTCCCTTGAGAAGAAGGCTGAGGAATTAAGCACCATGAATGTCTCTCTTTCGGTGAGCCCCCCTCCTGTCCCCCTCCTGCACCCCTCCTGTCCCCCTCCTGTCTCCCTCCTGCCCCCCCTCCTGTCGCCCTCCTGCCCCCCTCCTGTCCCCCAGGCTCATCCCTCTACAATAAGGGCAATTTAGAGGCACCGCTTTGCTTTTCTTTTTGCATGTTTTTGGACATTGGGATAAAACAGGAGAGGTATGTGACTGTCCACTAAGTTACAGTACCATGCTGTTTTTGATTAATCAGAGTGATTTTAAAATGATTACAACTTGTCAGAAGCGCTTTACCCAAATTTGCAGAACATTGTAATTGTCTGTCAAATTGCTCTAAGACTACAGGGGAAGCACAACTTCACCCACAAAATTGCCATAAGAAATTAATTAGACGTTGCATCAGTGTAAGTTAATCTTATCATTTGGACAGTTTATGTATGCTTTGTCTAAAAGGAGAATAGAGGAAAGCTTATTGGTGGATATGCTTCAGTGATGTGTTTCAGTGCCCCCCCCCCCCCCGGATGCCGTGCTTCACTGGGAGCCTATGACAGCTTCATACATAGTTTTTGATCAGGCAGCGTTGATTGGACAGAGACTTGCAGTCAGTCATTTTCGAGCTCCCTGGAAGCCTCTCTGCATGGTTATCTGGAGACGTCTTACCTAGAGCTGTCACGATTACTCGATTTGTACTCGATTACTCAATTATTAAAAAGCATCAATTAGAATTGTCCTTTCTCTGTTACTCGGCAGTTTGGCGGAAGGAAGACGGGTCCAAAGAAAGAGCTAAAACACCAGTTGTGTGGAAGCACTTCACGTTAAAAGTGAATGAAAGCGCAGTCGTCTGTCTGCACTTCAAAGCAGAACTTAAATATCACACCAACACGACTGCAATGCAAGTGCATCTTAAAAGAAGGCTTTCAAATTTGATTGACTCACCCAGTAATATGTGGTTAGCCAAAGATGTGTGTCATTTAGCCATTTAGCCTCTCGGAGTAACTGAGCCTGTCTTTGTAATCGCTTTGACTTAAATAATTTTCAAATTTTACTTACTACAATTCCTGTATATCAAAATAAATGCTGCTAAAATTAAATTTAGCCCTGTCACGTAGTTGCATAATCTTACATAATATGGTACATATGATGAATGATATTAGAATAATTTCACATTGCAATATTTGAACTTTTTGAGGTATTTAGAAGTTGAAAATGAACTGTATAGCCACATAGATTCTATTGGTAGTTAATAAGATCTATCAAATAAGTTGTTGGTGTTGCTGTGAGTTGGCAACACATAAAGCAGCAGCAACAAATCACTTGCTTTGTCTTTTTGCAATAGAAAACCGCTAAATCTTTCATGACCAGTTCTTGTTTGCTTTTCTCATCTTCAGTCATCGTTGCTTAATTTCTTCTAAACACGCCACATGGTTTATGAATGAGTCCCAACAGCAAGGACGAGAATGATTATGATTGTCTTAGATCAGGGGTGTCAGACTGCAGTCCTGGGGGGCCAGAGCCCTGTGTAGCTTAGTTTTTTCCCTGTTCCATCACAAATGACTCGGCCCAAGAGCTGTGTGGAAATTAACACAAGGAGGCGCAAGGAGTTGAATCAGGTGTGTTAAATGAGGGGAAACTCAAAAATGTGCAGGGCTCCGGCCCCCCAGGACTGGAGTTTGAGACCCGTGTCTTAGAGAATGCCTGCAGAGCTCATGCGAAAGCAGCGGTGGTAAACTTTAGCCTATTTTTTTTATAACACATACTAGATGATGCTGAATAGGAGCCATCATTAAAATTGTGAAGGTTGCTGAGTTTTTGTTCCTGTGACTGAGTATAAATGTTTTAGCGTGACTTATTGATGATTCAAACCCAGCAGACGTCTGCGGTTTTACGACGTGACGATTGCTTATGCATGAAATGCCACGTTGACATTAACGTCGTACGTTGTGCAATCCTGTCGGGGGGGTACAGCAGCGCAGCGGCACAGCGCTGTCACCATGCTCCGCCTCTTTGCGTGTGCTGAGTGTCACGCCCGGCTCGTACGATCCTCGTGTGTGCCACGCCCCTCATTACCTACGTGTACTACCCCGATTGTAATCACCTGTTGCTTATTCAGTTCAACCTGTCTTGTGTATTTAGTCCGTGTCTGCGTGAGTTTCCCTAGATCTGTCATTTGTAATGTTTGATGTTCGTCGCCAGTCTGCCCTAAATAAACCCCGTTTACCCGTAAGTTCGGCTCCACTCGCCTGCTTCCCGGCTCGCCTGCTCCTGAAGTGTGACGTGTGTGTGTGTGTGTGAGCGGGTTTATCTATCCTTATGGGGACATAATGTCCCCATAACGTGATAAATATCCGTTTTTTTTCCCTTATGGGGACCGGTTTCCTGGTCCCCATAAGGGAAAACTCTATTTTTAAAAAATCGGTGACTGCTATGAAAAAACTAAAAATGCAAAAACTCTTGTATTTTGTTAGGTTACTTATGGTTATGGTTAGGGCAGGGTAGGGGTTAAGGTTGTCATAGTTAGCGTTAGCATTTTTCCCATTGAAATGAATGAGCGGTCCCCATAAGGATATGTTTACCCTACGTGTGGGTGTGTGTGTGTGTTCGTGTGTTCAAAATGGACAAATTGCTTGAGAAGAAGCCATGCTGGTGTAGCAGCACATTAGATCATTTCTTACAAAAATAAAGGAGAGCAGAATTTACATATAAGTAGACTGACTGACCAAAATGAGAAAAAAGACTTTATTTGGTCATGCTGCTAATGGTCGATACTGCGCTTCCCCAATTTAAAAAATGACCATCCGCATCTTCCCTGCCTTGCATGGAAAAGGGCCCTCATCACGTAGGCTGTCTATGTGTCAGATTCTTCCCTATACTGCCTGCTTTCTGCAATACTAGTTTCTCAGTTTCTCCCACTCCTCTCCCCCATGAATGAGCTCCAAAGTGTGCCTGACTCTCCTTTAGAATGAGGTGTCCCTGCTGCGGAATGAGGTTGCCCACCTTAAGCAGCTACTGCTGGCCCACAAGGATTGCCCTGTCACCAACCTGCAGAAGAAGGGCGCCTACCTGGGTGAGTCCACCAGGCTCCACATTGGCTCTCAAGGCCTGCAGTCCTGTCAGAAGGCTGAAATGGCTGGTTCTTTAATCAGTTAGTTGGCCAAAAACACTCTCTAGCTCAGGGGTCACCAACTCCGGTCCTGCAGGGCTACTATCCAGTAGGTTTTCTGTCCCACTTGGCTTCCGATGAGCCACACCTGCTCCTGGTATTTACCTGAGAACTAGTGTGGCTCATCTGAAGCCGGGTATGATAGAAAACCTACTGGATAGTAGCTCTCCAGGACCGGAGCTGGTGACCCCTCCTCTAGCTACATGATATGTTCAGTACTTCTGTCAGTTTGGCTCCAGTCAGCTGACCTGTGTCATCACCAGTGTTTTGTGAGTGATGTTACGCATCTGTGCAGAGTGAGAGGAAGGGAAAAGTAAGAACCTGAATATTGGAATAGGTAATCTTAAACATTCTAAAATAAAACCTGAATCTAGGATTTGTCACATCAATAATGTAATAACATTTAGATAATTTGGTTGGAGTGAGTCACTAATTTAACTGTGTGTGTATGTTTCCATTGGTTCCTGTATGTATTGCAGGAGAAGAGAGCCTGAAGGATTCATCCGAGCCCACAGGTTCCCCAGCTCAGGTTATTCAGCATAGTTCCCTAGCGCCCAGTCCTCCCAGCTCAGGGCCCAATGGCCTGAGCGCACGTGCTGCAGCTGAGGCAGTGGCCATGTCCGTGCTGGCTGGCATGGGGGGCCAGCAGGGCGGCAGCACCGGGGGCCCCTCCCACATCATTATGTCCTCGCAGTCTCAGCCTGCCGCTAGATGATGAGCACAGCAGCGGCCGCAACACTGGGGTTACCTAGAACTGGACCGGCATCAACAAAGGAGTGAGTCTTTGACCCCTGGCTATATCCTCTTGTCCCTCCCACCTTCTTCTTGGTGTCCACCCACCCAGTGGTGCATGGCACTGGGCCGGAGCTCTGCAACAGCCTGAGGATGAACTGAAACAAATGGAGTTCTTCCTATTCTCGATGCCATGGACTATGGGGAGAGCTTGTCACTCCTGGATACCTCCCCAAACATTTCATAACTCCACCCTAACCTCATTTGGCTTTACGACTGCATAACTTGTTCTGTGTGCATTCTCGGCTGACTCTACAAGTGGACGTTTGGTGATGCTTACCATACACATACACGCTCACGCTCACGTTCTGTGGCCCAGTAGTTCGATACATACAGGTCATTTTCCAGGTTTTTTCAATCGCTACTCTTTACCAGATGAAGGCCAAGCCTTGCTCTGCTGTACATCTTATGTTTAACGTAGTATCTGTCTTTTCACACACTGAATGTTGTTTGAGAAGAGGATCTTTGTGTTTTTATTGCGGAAAAGTAACTTAATTTTCTGGCCAGTTTGAAATAAGACTTGAAGATGCTCAACCGATAGTAGGCCATAATTATGGACTAGTTCTATAATGTTGTTAGCTAACCTCTACCAATTTGTAAGATCTACATCAACCTGTGTACACCTACATGTAGGAGTATGTGTATGTGTGAGCTTATATGTTGTGTATGGGCAATTGCACACTTAAATGTATATCAATATTTAGCCTAAAGTCTTCAATACACTAATCTGGTTTTGTTGGCATGCCTGTTTTACTCACAGATTAGTCCGGTTTTTGGTCATTTTATTTTTTTAGTTGCATTCTGTCCAACCTGGATTCCAGGAAACCTTTAATTATTTTGGGCTTCCGCCTCAGCTGACTGCATCTGCTAATAGTGCTGGTTTGGGATGAGTTCAGTTCCTTGTTTGATGACCTGGTGCAGAGTGCCTTCCCTGGGACTGTTCGATCCCATGCTTTTTGGCTTGTTCCCAACTCCCTGATTTGTAATGTTTTGGGGGGTCTTCACTTGTGCAATGGTGTCTCGTGTTGCTCTGAGCTGCTGACTAAGTTATTTTGTTCTGCAGCATTTTGCTTGTTGCCTCCTAATCCTGCCATCCTCTCCTGGGTCCCTCAGCATTAGGTTCTCCCACACAAAAGCTCTGTTGCCATTAATGGTTTAATTCACGTGATTGATTTCAGAAATTATTGAAAATGCTAATTGACTGCATGATTCCAATCCTTTTTTCCATATTCAGATTTTTTTTTCTAGGGTTGTAACGGTACATAGAATTCTCAGTTCGATACAAACTTTGGTTTTGTGCTCACATGGTTCAGTGCAATTTCAGTACAGCAGGGAAAACAGAACTGCTTTTGAAATGGTTTATTATTAAAACTGCAAACACAATTAGGAACAGTTTGTTACCCAAACAAAAGGCAATGGGTCTGTCAATTTGTCTAAATAACAAAACCTGAGAGAGGCTTATTTGCACATTGTAAAAATAAACAGTAATAAAAATAGAATTGAAATAAGACGGAATCATAACAATCATGATGAACTAATTCCTGTGTAAACTGCATTCTCTATTATTGAGTATGACATATCTGTATCGATAAACACCTCAACAGCCTTACAATTTCTTTAGCGTGAATTTCCTGGCAAAAATGTCTTAAGTGCCACAGGGAGACTAACTTGCTGAGTCTGTTCTGTTTCGTTCCGACACACTCTGATGTCTCAAATGAGTTACCACATTAGATGCGTTTCCAGCAACATATCCAAGTTTGATATAACAGAGCTGTCTTATCAACTCTCTCTCCAGTGTTAGTGTAATTTATTGGGAAAAATGTTCCCAAACTACTGATTGACCGTGGGGGGGTCTTTCTGCCCCCCCTTTGCCATTATGACTGACTGTAACCAGCACTAGCTGTAATCAACTCACAGCCACAGTTAGCATAATGTTTTCAGTGTTGAACATCTATTTGTAAATTTAGGCTCTGTTCATATAAATAATGCATTCATTTGTTCAATTTTGCATCTCTGGCCAAAAATGATATTACCTGGCGGCACACGATGAATACATGCACCGTTACAGCCCTGTTCTCTGTTAACACGCTTGCAGCTCGTGGTTCTTCCTCAGCTGCACTTACACTTTTCTATACAAAAGAGGAAGAAGGAAAAAATAAGAAGCGCAATTTGCCTTAAATATCACACTTGTGCCTCCCACCTTTCCAGGATAAGCTGATGGCAAGACAGATGACAAATGGATGGACAAGATTTTATTCTCCTTGGTTGCTCACTGTGTGAAGAACCTTTAGTTGTGGGGGGAAAAAGTAAAAAAACAACAACATATATTTGTATACTCTGGTATTTTGTAAATATCTTTGGATAAAAAATGTGCAAACCTTTCAGTCTAATGTCAGCATGCAGTCGCAGTGTCTTTGTGCATCCACTGAAATGTCTTTCCTGCCAACGTATTTTAAGTTTATGTGAATTGGTCCATCTCTCTGAGATACTGCAGCAAAATTGATCTGAAACACATGCATTTGAAACAAAAAAACTAAGGGTTACTTTTTACTGTTTATTACTGTACATGTAACATATTGCAGTATATACATATATAACTTAACATGTCACCTTTAACATTTTGTATGCAGTGCTTAATGTTGCAAGCATAAAATATTAAGAATAATGTAGAATATCCAGAAAACAATATGCAAATTTCAATAACACCATTCTGGCTTGACATTTATCTCATTTTTGACAGAAATAATGAGAAATAAAAATGATAAATGCTTCCATAAGAGGATCTTATGTGCATCGTATCACACCTTGAGTATGTAAATGTATGCATAAAGATTGTTGACTACTTTAATGATTTCCAAGCATCTTCCAAGTGGCTGGTCCCACAGCCTCTGTGGTGCATACAGCTTCCCGTGTGAGCTTTGAGCTTTGAACTAGTGTCAAACCTGGGTGGGTAGTCCCTGTTAGACAAATTATATACAATTTCAAAATGAAACTTCATTTAGCTTTCATTTTATTAATTGTCATTGGCACTTTTTTTTTTATTACATTCATTGCGTGCTCTTGTCAGGATTTTCCTGATATCTGCTATGATTAAAGCTTTTTTTTTTATTAGTTCTAATGAAATATAGAAATGCTTCTTTTAAGATTTTTTTTTCCACTATTTTAATTTTTTGTTGATTTGATGTATTCTGACATAACAGCTCTTTTTGTATTTTTTATAGGAAAATAATTATACCTGGACAAATTTGTTTGACCCTCTATGATGCCCTAGCAGCAGAAACTGGTCTGTCTCCTTTCAAAACATCATTCAAACCGCTTAATTTATTATGGAGTATGATTCAGGGGAGAATGAGAGTGGGAGTTTTTTTCTGTAATGTATTAGCAGTAACAAATAAATAGTATAACCTTATGTGTATATATATAAAATATATATATAATATATATACCATTTAAACTCGAACTAATTCTGTGAAAAGAATTCATTAAGAAAAAAAGGCCATTTTAAAAGGAGTTGCTGTTAGTGTATAAATCTATTTTCTGTAAAGTTGCACCTCAAAATGTTATTCTGGCAATTTTAGACATTTTCAATGTATTGTACATATGTGTACTATATATACTTTTTCATGCATGTTAAAGTGAATTATAAACATTTACTGTGCTGCAGTTTTAATTAAAGAAAATGGAAAAAAAAACGGTCTGGTTCCAAAGTAACTTGTTTCTCGTAAATGATGCATTTTGGCATTTAGTAGTTCATTCTGGTTTTATCTGTAAACAAACCAAAGTTTTGACAAGTAGTAAACTGTGCATAGGGAATTGTACTTTTTTTCTTTACTGGAAACAAGGAAACCATCCATCGATCCATTTTCTGTACCTGCTTGTCCTATTCAGTGTCACGGGGGTGGGGGTGGGGGGGGGTCTAGAGCCTATGGAAATGAGGAATAACAAATGTGATAAAGATTGCATCGTTGAATATTCAGGGAGTACTGTAGTATTAGTACATTACAGAACAGTATAGTACAATAAGTATTGTAAATCTAGAGGTTCTGAAGCTGCATACTGACCTTGTGGGCTGTACTGTATCCCCCTGTTCTGTATATGAGGTTCCAGCTGGATGAAGGAATGATCCCAACAATAATGGATGAGTCTGTTAAGCTCATGTGCTTCCCATGGTGCGCAGTTGAGTGCAGTTGGAGAAAACATGTCCTGAAATAGTGGCGGGGCACAAAATACATCGAACAACACAGAGGTTGCTCTTTAATACGCAATGCAGTTGTGAAAGGAACACTTTATGGCTATAAACGATATCACTTGATAAATATAATAATCGATACTTTATTGATCCCCGTGGGGAAATTGTCTTTACGCCTCCCTCAACTTGCTCTTTGTGTCTGATCTCCCCAGAGAGATCTTGGACCAACAGATTGAGTTGGACTTGGACGTACCCAAAGGTAAGTCTCTCAGGGAAGGGGGCACCCAGAGTTAATCACTTGTAAAGACTCAGCAACACTAAAGGCTCTAATTTTGTTCAGTGTTTACACTGTATTTCTGTGCCATGTTGTGAATTTCCAGGTACAGTTAACTTTGGAACTCAAACTCCTCTTAATTCGACCAACTCAGACGTCAAACTGGTCTGTCAAATTATTTTTGCCTTGTACCTTGACTGAAATCTTGGAACTCAACAGTTCCTGCTAAAACTTGTATTGTATGGGTCGAGACTCATTCAATTCTACCAATTAGGACGTCGAAAGGGTCCAAATCTAGCCACAACTCGACTGAAAACTCAGAACACAACAAAACAAAACAATCCTGCTAAATCTTGCATGGACTGAGACGTGTTTCCCCTTCCAAACAACAACCCCTCCGTTCCTCCTCCTCACCACCTGCCGCTTCCAGTATGCCATCAGCTCACCTAAATGAAGGTAAAGTGCTCATAAATGGTCATGATCAGGGTGGATTAATATTCATGCCAGAATGGTAATGTAGAGCAAGACAGTAATGTAAATTCCAAATCATTATTTACACAAGTGCTAGATATAACTTTAACTTAACTTTAACTTTTAAGGTATGGTCCTTATGGATGACACTGCAGTTGTGACCCTCTGTGCCGGCTTCTTTGAGCAGTTGTTCAAAGCTGACCCTCCAGTAAGGATGTTGGACATCTCTGGGTCTGTGGTTCTCGAAGCTGATACTCCGATCAGCTGTGAACCACCCAGTCTCACTGAGATTGCACGGGTGGTGAATCAGCTGGGGGTAGGGAAGGGTGCAGGGATCTGTGATTTCAGGGGTGAACTTCTCCAGGCTGGTGGTAACGCTGCTCTACTGGCATTGCAGGCAACCTTTGCTTCCATTTGGGAGTCAGGCGTCATCCCAACTGACTGGAAAACGGGACTTATAGTCCCTCTTGGGAAAGGGAAGGGTGAACACCTGGATTGAGGCAACGGTCTCTCCAAGTATGAGTGAAGTTGAGCAGCAATTATCTTCTCCAGAACTTTTGACAGAAATGGTACATTTGAGATAGGTCTGTAATTGCTGAGCTCTTGTGGATCTAAATTTGGCTTCTTCAGTAGTGGCCTGATTACTGCTATTTTAAGTTGGTCAGGGACGGTGCCTGATAACAGGGACGCATTCAGTATGGCAGTTATAAGTCTTGCCAGAACTCCCAGGGATTCTTTAACAAGTTTAGTGGGGATTGGACAAGTAGTTGGTTTGATCTTAATTATAATAGTTTTTAGCTGTAATTCATTAATTAATTAAGTCATTAGGGGTGCGTTCATGATCCGTTTGCATTGAAGTTAATTGTGAGCCATTGGAACATGTTTGAAGTCTAATGTTTGTAATTTTATCATTAAAGAAATTCATAAAATGTTGTCTACTGAAATTACTCAGTAGCAGAGGTTCAGCCTTATTTGTTAGATGAGCTACAGTATTGTTTTAAAATGGTATCGAGGGTTATTTCTATTGCAATCAATGAGGTTAGAATAATAGGCTGTTTGTGCTCTACGAAGGGCTAGTTTGTATCGTTGCAGGCTGTCAGACCAGCCAACTTGAACACTTCTTGGCCTGTGGATTTCCATTTGCGCTCCAATCTGCGGCCCTCCTGTTTGTAAGAGCGTCTGTGATCATTAAACCATGGGGAGTGTATGGTGGTTTTTACCACTATTTTTCAAAGGAGCTGTTTCATCTAAGATCTGACTAACCACTGACATCTGTACTAGACATGAAGTTCACATTACTTACTGCATTAATAAATCGTAAGGAATTTCCATCATTTAGGTGATGTGACCTAATCTTTTCTGCCATAGTCAAAGAGAGTGGCTCAATCACAAAGGGGATTAAAAAATGGTCAGAGAAGGACTTATGAAATGGACAGACACATACATGATGAGCAGAAACTCCGTGAGTAATAATCAAGTCTAGTGTATGATGTATTGAAAAATAAAATGCTGTGTCCAGTTTTGAACCAATATTCATTTATTTTCAGCATCAAATTCTGTTTTTCAGAATATTTATGTATGTACTGTGTACTTTTTAAAATCTGTCACTTACTTTCTGCATCATGAGGCTGATTCTTCCATTAACCTAAGAGTCAAAAACCATGCTCATTGCTATAACTGTATTTCTTAACATTTGGTTCATTTAAATTAAGAAGTAAGCCATGAATATACCATTGTAAAAAAAAATTCATGTAGTAACCATGCAATAAGAAACTTTTAAAATGACACCTTTCGCTGTTCTTAACTTTTCTCACAAATTTACGTTTAACATATTTGAAAGAGGAGAATAGCAATGAACAATCAATAAAAACTTTATTGTAGATTATCTTGAGCTCCACAGTTTTAAAATTACTCACCTATACAAAGATCCATGGAAAAAGTTCAGATGGTAGATTTGTATATAACAAGGCTGTTTTCACTCTTGGCTGCACTCTGCTGGCAGTTTCAATTTTGCTGCCCTCTGTCATTGCAGCTACGATTTTGTATCTGAAGTGTACATTTTTAGGTGTAGATTTTTGTCCATATGTTTTTGTGGAGTGGTAATCAGTTTTTTTAAATATCAAATAATGTATGTAAAGTAAATAATGATTTAATTTATCCTGTTCACTAGGATAAGTCTCTAATTAAACATGCACTTTTAGTGCAAATTGTACTTGTCCTGAGACAAAATATAATAAATATTATTTTAGAAAAAAAAATGATTACATAATATTATTATAAAATACCAAGCTCTCCAGCATCCGCTAAAATGGCATTTTTCTCTAGTTCCACTTCACACTTTTAAAAGAGTTGAAATAAGTTTTTAATATACTTTTTAGGTTGTGGTTTTGTTGATTATGTCTTTTGCCATTGTTAAAACAATTTGTTTCATCATGAATGTATCTTAATAGTAATTGTTACTGAAACCTATGTAGCTTGGCAAAGGAAGAGAAAAAACGACGAGTCACAAGACACAGAAGAAATGACATCATCAAGCCATTTACAGTACTAACACCATGGGGAGACCACAGGTGAGTCCTCTTTTCTATTTTTCATATTTTTCTAGTCAGCCTTTTCAGCCTTGAGTGTGTGTGTCACACTAACCAACACAACACTGTTACTCAGAGTATCAGTGTCACGTTCAGGTCCAGTGCGCGGAACAGGGAAGCAGGAGAGGGATGCGTAGGTCTATGGGATTTAATGGAAAAAGGGTGCAGGGACATGGGACATGGGACAGGCAACGACAGGTATCGCTACATAGAGAGACTTTAATGACAGACCGGGGGAAACAGACTGAAATACACAAGACAAGCCGAAATAACAGGAAACAGCTGGTCACAGCTGGACCCCTGACTTAGTGTATGTATGAATCAATGTGTTTGGTTCAAAACAGAGCGTTTCACAATCTAATTGAACTTATTTGAATCTATTATTTTTTAATTGACCAGCCTAACTGATTTGCCTACTAGATATGTTGACAAGGCAGAGGTCCCTTGAATCCTGTCTACTGGCAATATACTTCTCTATACTTATATATTTCTATATACTACTGTGTTATATAATTCCTATATAATTATATGTATTATTCACATGCATCTTGGATAATAAATTCTAAATGTATAATAAATGTAAAAAGTTTTGTTTTGTTACATGTTCGGCTTTCTGAACACTGTAATATTGCTTTTGGTGTAGAGGCACATCACTTGGGGCAGCGTGTGGCACAGTAGACTAAGCCTGTGTGCATGTAATCAGCAGGTCACCAGTTCAGACCCAGCCTCAGCACGTCTGTGGGTCCTTAAGCAAGGCCCTTAACCCCCAGCTCCCTGGGTACTGCTGTGGGTGGCTGCCCTTTGCCGACAGCTTACTCTACATAGAGCAAGTTGAGGGAGACGTAAAAGACAATTTCCCCATGGGGAATCAATAAAGTATCAATTATTATTATACTTAATACAGCCCTCCAGAGCACATAGTGAAAACAGCAATAACAGCAATAACACGCAAGACGGAGTATGACTGTACTCCAATATATCATGGCTGTAATTTGGTCATAGGCATGAGGCCACAGGCCTCGTATGGCTTTTATACAGCAGTTCATCAAGTAGCATTTATAAGGTAACAGTAATAAGATACAACACTTTTTGTGGGCAACATTTATGGGCCTCCGCAAATAAAAATAGTTCCCGTAATGTCAGCGAAAGAGGGACGGGCTATCGCTCCAAA